TTTTCCATCAGCAATGTATGCCATATTTTACTTGTGAATGCTTGCAATGAGAGATCTTGGGCTTTTTTCCAATTTTTAGCGATTTCAGATCTTGCGGTGCCTATAAGATTTGCAACAAATTCTTTATATTCTAGTTTCTCATTTCCCCCTGTGAATAATGAAAATAACAATAATGTTTCATTAATATCTATTTTTGATTAGTCAGTGTCTCTATCCATCTGAAACAATAAATCAATAAATAGCACCTCACACATCCCTACATCCAGAAAAGGCAGAGAGAATTTACCTGGATCAGGCAGTCCGTTCCTGTCACCAATTAACGTGAAGCTCAAAGTCTACCTGTTCCCTCAGCAGGTGAATCTCTGAGGGCAGAGCTGTAAAGGCCAGGTGAGGGAGAGGCAGCAGGATATAAAAAGCTTGATGCCACACCTTCCGAGTGGGGGGGGGGAGAAGTATTCATTGGAGCATGGAGAAATTGCTGTTTAATGTTAGAGACGCTTCCTTCTCTCCTGGACATTAGCCCAGTTGTTCACATTCTCTCTTTTCATGCCGATTGGCTGTATTTCCCCTCCAGCCGAGTACATTATCCTCCACATGGTGGCAGTTCTTATTTACTTGGTCAACAGTGTGACAAAGTTTAGAGACACCCTTTCCTCTTGTCCCTAGTTCAGTGTCATTGATCGGCAGTGGCCAGTTTACCAACAGTTTGATCTCATGGAGGCTCCAAGGGGAGAGCAAAAGGAGATTTCTGTTTGCTTGTTTGTTTTAAACATAATCTAGGCTTATGACAGATCTCAGAGTTTAGCATTTTATGCTAACGTGCAGGTATTATGGAGATTTAGAGGCAGCATGACTTTTAGGTACAACCTGCTAACGTGCAGGTATTATGGAGATTTAGACTTTTAGTTACAACCCCCAACAGTATATATTTCTTGATTCTGCATTGTTACCTTTCAAGCCGGCTAATTATTTCTATTTACTCTTAATACAAAAACAACATAGAACTTTTACCTTTGCCTGACTAAGCGCTTTGCCACCAGCAGAACAAGAGCAGAAGTTTATAACAATTTTGTATGCCCAACACAAATGCCCTTGTAGCGCTGGCGGAATAGCAACAATGACTCACGTTCTTCTGCACGGACCCTTCCATCTTGGAATTCGGGAAAGTTTTATCGAACCTTATAGAAAGTTACTCCCTGGACACTCAGAGGCATATGATCCCCTTCTACTGCTGTCAGGGCAAAACACAGGGATGCTGTCAGGATCAAATACAAGGATGTTGTTTAATGTTAACAAAATTTTGTACAGCCGCAATTGAGATCCGTGAAGGAAAGGTCTTTTTAGCCAGCTTTTAGTTCTAGTAGCAGCAATATTTTAGGTATGTGTATATGTGTATATAGATAGACATTCTTCAGTCTTGAGAGACTATGGTAACGTGCTCTGCATGGAGAACTTGAAACAGTGTCTAGTGTGGCTGAGAAGGCCGATTCAAGAGTGACCATCCCTTTCCGACCTCTACGTTGGCCTGGGCTGTGTATATGCTTTTTGGATATTGTTGGATATTGCACATTTTACGTACAATATATTTATTTTGGATATTGGTCATTGACTGTAATAAAGTGTCTACCAACCCACCCACCCTCCTACCTACCTACCTACCTACCTACCTACCTACCTACCTACCTACCTACCTACCTACCTAC